CGGCCCGACCTTCTCAGGTGACCCCTGCCCTTTTCCCGCCAAGGACCCACTGGCAGGGACCTATATTTAGGGAAATTTGAAGCCCCTGGCATTCATGCCAGCACAGGGCCCCAAGTGTGAGAGGGGGAGGGGGCCCCACAGACTTGCCCTGGAGTGGTGGGGGAGGGGGTCGTAAAAAGGGATGGGTGCTCACTCACCAGCCCTGCAAAGGTGCAGGCTTCCTGAGAAATCCAGACTGGGGCCCTATTGGTCAAGGCCCCACACCTTGGGGTGGGAAATCTGTGGAGATGGGTGAGGGCACTTAGAAGGGGGTGTCCCATCCTTCCACCCAGTGGCCCCAGGGATGAGCCCCTTCTGCCCTGGAGAGGGCCTGATCCGACCTCCAGAGCTGACTTCTCTGGAGGCAGAGAGGCGACAGTAACTAAGAGTCCCTGCACAGAGATGAGGAGTGGAGGGGGACCCTCAGGTCCTAATGCTTTGGGTCCAAGTTCCTCCTATAATGTGGTGAGCCATGTCCCCCATGCCCACCTTCAAGTCCAGACGGCTTCCTGGGAGAAGGGAGGAGGGCAGGAGTACATGCCAGGGCACTAGCCCTTCTCTCAGCTCTGCAAAGGGGCTGCTGTCCAGCTGGCCCAGGGCACACCAAGGCTGATCCTGCAGGGAGGCAGGCTCTCAGCCCTTGGGGAGCTGGGCAGGCCATCGGTGGCCCCAGTGGCTTGGGGAAAGGTGTCCTCAGGCCCCATAGGAAAGAAGGCACGTGGGTCCTGGGGGCTGGCCATTCCCAAAAGGGCAGGGGCCCCGGGTCCTCATCGGAGCTTGATCTCAAAGCAGAGGCAGTTGAGGCTCTGGCAGTCAGGAAGTTGGCACGCACAGGCACAGTCACAGAGTGGGCAGCTGTGGGGACAGCGAGGGGCCCAACCCTAGGAGAGAAGAGAGAGGGATGAGCGGACTGGGCAGGTGGAGGAGGGAGGGCACCAGAGCTTCCTCAGGCCGCCTTTTCCCAGGGGAGGGGGCGGACAGAGGAGAACAGGGAGATTTAGAACAAACTTGTTGCCCGTGGAATGGCGGGTACCACTGCTCTGAGATCAAAGCAGTTCCCTGTGCTGTCGAGAAAGCAGCAACACAAGGCAATGCTGAACTAAGGGCATGAGCTGGGGGCAGTGTTCCTGGGGGGGCCCTCCTGCCTCCCATTTTATGAGCCAAGAGATTTAACGGCCCGAGACCTGGGTCCCCCACCAGAATTGGGATCTCCCAATTTCTGGCTCAAAGATGCATGTGAGCCTATTTGCCATTCATCCTGCTTCCCAGCCCCCACACACAGTTCTGTGGGCCTACTGGAGGCAAGACACAGGTGTTCTTCATAAATGATTTCGTTTTGAAAAGGGTCATTTTCATAGTAAAATCTTAAAAAAAAAAATTGAGAGATAGCTCTTTTCCTTATCAGAACCCTGAGGGGTGGGCCTCTTTACAACATGGTAAGTAAACAGGAGATTGGGATGGGCAAGGCCTGCCTGCTTCCAGCCCTGAGAGTCCCCGGGCTCCCCACCCTGACCCCTAAGGCCGGCCAAGGAGATCGGCTTCTTCCTGGGTTTACAGTGGGGGAGGCGGTTCAGCTCTGCAGAGCGAGCTCACACAGGGCCTCATGTGAATGAATGGCTGAGTCAAAGTTGAGCATCTCCCCTTCTTGGGACAAAAAGGGCTGCTCTGTTCCCCGGGAGACACACAAGGTCTGTCTCTTGGGGAACAGGTACAGCAAGTTCTGAGACAGAACGTACTGGCCCACTCCGGCCGGGGTTGATCGGCGGCTGCTTTGGGCATGGACAGGCATCCGTCCAGCCAAGTGCCTGGAGCGAGACACCCCCAGGAACCGAAGGCTGGTTCCCCAGCCAGAGGCAGAGCTGGTGAAAGTCGCAGTTGCACAGCTCAATCAGAGACCAGGCCAAGCCAGGAATAGGGAAATGACCTTTTCAAACAGCTGAGGTTTTGGGGGTACAGTGTCGGATGACTAGTGGGATCAGATATCACTAGAGGCTCCAGTGTGGGACAGGGCTCGGCCGTCCATGGGGGAGGAGGGTCTGACCTGGGCGGGTGCCACTGCCGTCAGGACTGCCTCTCAGAGAAGAAGCTGGAAGGGTCACAGTGTTGGCAAGGACAGCCAAGCGGCTGCTTCGTGGCTGAAGAGGGTCTGGCTCTGAGTGTCTCTGGGGAGGGACCGTCAGAAGCTCTGATGGCTGTGGCCAGGTTTTTAGGGGACCACACCATCATTCTGTGTGCAGAGCCGGTAGCTGAGAGGCCGAGCGGCCCTCGTCTTACAGCAGGTATTAAAAGCACGTCTTGGCTCTGACCCCTGAAAGGGCTTAGAGCGAGTCATTAATAACTGGCTAATGACTTTCTCCACTCGTAAAAGCAGCTATGTGGCTTCTCCGGGAGGAATCTGCTGTTTAAGTACATTAAACAAGGACACCCAGGACGGAGTCTTAACCCTTTCGCTTCTCTCGGCTCTGCCTTTTCATCTCACTGGGAATGGTTTCATTTGGCTGCCGTGGGGGCCAGCCATGGTCGCACGGGCTAGAACTTGGGCCCTGGGGTCAGTCAGGTGTGGCCTGCCCTTCTTGCTGGGCTTGGAGGTTCCGCTGTGCTCATCTTCATGTTGGGGAACAAAGAGAACTCCTCCTCTGGTCATAGGGTTATTATGGTAAAACGGGAAGAACTGGGCATGGTGCCTGCCAGGGGGTGGACCCTCCATCATCAAAGAGCTATTGTCTTATCCGCTGTCTATCCGAGCTCGTGGACTTCCCTGTAGCAGTCCCTAACCACCTGAGGGAATCTTCAAAGTGCATCCCCTGCTCTAGGTGCCTGGATTTCTTATCCAGGCCCCTAGCTGCTTCTGCTCCCATCAGTCCTCACAGGGTCTGTTTGGCCTCCGGAGGGCTGGGAACTTATCTTGGCAGCAACATGCCTCAACACTGAGTCCGCGGGGAGTACGTTCAGGAATGGGAGACCGGGAGGAGCCCAGGGCTTGTGAGCTGCATGGCCTTCAGCCTCGGCTTCCACCACTGTCAATATAGGCCAGGGCTTGGGGACCTCTGAAACAATCCCCCAAGTTGGGGGAAACTTAGTGGTTTCTGTAAGAAAACAGGAACAGTAGCCTTGGGATGGGCTTTGGACCTGTTGAAGCCACACGGCACTGCTTCACCCTCTGTGTTCGCAATTCACCCTGGCGGGAGAGGATTAGGTCTTCAGGGCCAGCTCTGGAGGGGACGGTGGAAGAGGCCAGTGGGCACCCTCCAGGGCACCTCCCTCAAGGGGAGGACGAGGTGAGCCCGGCTTTTCACTCTCTCTTGGCAGCCAGGTGCTTCTCTGGAAGGAGTCTGCGGTTCACGTGCATGAGACAAGGGCTCCCCAAGATGCTTACCCCCAGGACAAGGCTAGGGCATCGTCTTTGAACTGAACGTTTCCTGTAAGAAACAAATCAGAGGCTCCGCCTCCTTCCCCTGGACCCCTTTGGCCCTAGCCAAGGCCCTGTCCACAGCTCTGCGCGAGAAAGCCCGAAGCAGAACGTTTCAAAGAGGAGAGAGCTCCTTGTTTCATAATTTATTTGGAAACTCTTAAGCATCTCTCTGGGATTTGCAATGACCTGAGTTAGTCTGAGTCACCAATCCGCTGAGGCGTGGTCTTGTGTCTCTCACTGGCTTTCAAGGTCACTGCCCCAGAGGGCAGGAGTGTTGCTGTCTAAATCCCATGATCATTCCTGCTCAGGAAGATGGTCGATGCCACCAGACGGCAGCTTTATGCCCACAAATGCACAACTGGATGCCTGCGAGGCAGGCATTTATGCCCGAGGCTTCCGTTTCTACGAAAGCTATGGAGCCCTGGGCTGAGGCAGGCTCTCCTGTGTGGCACTCAATTCCCTCCGCCATTTCCTTCCTCGGCCTCTCTAAAGATGCCTGCTGCCTGCGGTCACTACAAGTCGGAGCTGACACCTCATGACAACATCTATGGGACAAGCCCAGAGAGGGGGTCCAGGAAGTAACAGCAAAAGGGTGAGTCATAGCCGATGAGGAAGCCGTCGGTGGTACTGGCCCCATTTTTGCCCAAGATAGTGAAAAGCAGTAGTTGCCTATGCTGCACACCCAAGACACGCCTCGCGCCACGGGGCGTGAGGGCTGGGTTAGAAAGGGACTCGTCCTGTATGTCTAGCACGCATACTTTGTAAATAGTGCTTTTGTATCATCAGAAAAGAAATCCTGGTAGCCTAGTTAAGTATTGCTAAAATAACCGTGCCTCTGAAGTGTGTAAGAGCCCTGGGGGCATCATGGTTCCTTGTTGGACTGCTCTCCCCAAGGTCAGTAGTTCAAAACCGCAGCGACTTTCCACCCCCGTACAGAGTTGCAGTCTGGAAAACCACAGGGGCAGTTAGTTCTACCTTGTCCCTTAGGGTTGCCCTTGAGTTGGCATGACTGGATGGCAGTGAGTATGGGTTTAGTTTTTTGTTTGGGTGAAGTGTTTGGCAAAGAGCACTCACTCACCCAGCTCTGGGGTGGTGGGCTCTGCTGTTCTCTGTCCAGAAGCGCCCACTGCTGATGGGTGCTGGACTTTACATTCACCCCCTTGCTCCAGCGGGCACCCGATGGCCTTCGGGTAGCTGGGCTTTCTAACCCCGTAAACAATCCACAGGGGGTCGCTATGAGCCAGCATTGACTGGATGGCAGCCTCACTGCCATCCTCCAAAGACTCTCAGATACTGTGCCCCCCCC